CTAAACACATACTTAAATGGGCACAAGGCAGAACCACGAATCTCGCTTCAGATGCATCACAAATTTTGCAGATAGGATCAACCATTACGGTAGCCAGATTTGGAGTTCCAGCAGCTGCAGCTGAAAGGTAATCATTATAATATTTTGCATCGTCTGATTTTTTCTGTAGCGAAACTAACAAAATTTTTACCATTTTCAGAATGAGGTTCTTCAGAGGCGGTATCAACAGAAAAATTTTTCTATAGAAATAAAACAAAGCTTGTAATTCTAATATTACTAATACAAATTTGACTTGAAATTTTTTTTGATAAAATTACCTTCTGATTGGCTTTGGCTTTGTTAACCAATAAATATGTACACTTATTCGAAAAAAGAGCGTGTTCAATCCAAGGATTATCTTCTGGCAACCAATTGTGCGCGCCGACCCCACAGAAATAACTAATAACTTTATCTGATTCGCCGGAATAATAAAATCCACATTCGGCCAGCGTATGGGGTGTTTGCGCCTTATTGGTCGGCCATCCTTCGTACGATTGAAGCCGTTTTTGGAAAGTGCTCATGTCCTTATTAAACATGTTGAAAGGTTTATAAGTTAGGTGTTCCGAAACTTGTGCTTGCATTTTGATTTCGGCGTCGTTTTCTTTTAGCACCCGAATCTACATTACGCATCGGCGTAGGTCCATGTGTATCCCTCGATGAACGAGCTGAGTCTGAGTTAGAATTTAAGTTGTCTTTACTTGATATAGGTTTCCATTTTTTAAAGCCTCCCATCCTAGAAGCGCTATCGGTTTGATTAGAACGAATTCTGATTCCTTCCAGTGGACCCATTAAGTCTTGCTTAACATCCTTGGACAACATTGTCGTTGGAACGTTTACCATCTTACAAACTGTTAACATACGATTAATACCTGCAGGATTATGACTCCACTTCAATTCTCGTGTTACGTAATTTACCAAATCAATTATGTTGGTTTCCGGGGCAAATTCTGTTCCAAAAAAAGTTACCCTTCCATTTGTGTCCCATTTGATAAGATCGGGCCTTGATTTCAGCATGGTCATGAGAGGAATAAGCTTCGTAGCTTTGACGTTTGCGGGCTCATTTCTGAGTAAGATAATATCGTCCAAATTTAAAGGAGAACTTTGAGGAACTTCATTAAGTGTATCTGGATCCCACGCCGTCGCTGAACCTTTCGACGACGCGAAACTCTGGTTTAAGGTTGAGTTTGGTGACGATATAGCAGATGAAAAATGATCTAGGGAGCTAAAGTCTGCACTACTATCGGCATTAATCGCTGCATCTGGTTTGTCTAGGCTAAGTTTGACCTTTATAGGATCAACTAGTATTTGATTCAATTGTTGCTTTACACTTTTCATGATGGAACCATAAAGTTGAATTTTTATGTCATCAGGGATTTCAGAATTATCAAGTACTTGATCGGCTCGACCACTTGCATCACGAAAGAAATGCTCTTTGACTTGAGATAGAGGGGTATGTCTCTTTAGCAAACGCTTGTATTCGTTGTCTTCAACCAGTCGCATTCTTTGTGCCATTTTATAACCCCAATTGTGAGCCAATGGCTCTACCTGCAATTGCACCTAATGCTGATAAAACTGGTGAAATCAGAAAAGGTAGAAAACCACCCTTTTGCAATAATAAGTGCTTTTTCTTCTTGTGTGATAAAGTTCGTTTTGACAATTTTCTTATTGAGTCTTTGTGCAATGATAACTTTTTTAATTTCTGTTCTGCTACCGGAAAATTTCCACATACAATATTCATAACAATCTCTGTGAGAGCTCTAATTTGGTCGGGAGTTGCCGCTTCAATGAGTTTCTTCCTGGTCTGGTCGTTGGATTTGTGTAACGTCTTCAGAAAACCTTGATTCCTCTATAAGCATTTGCTCATCCTGATGTTGCAGTTTTTCGAAATAAAACGAAATTACAGCCGCCTTGAAATGGCTACAATGGGGATTTGCTTTATGAAATCGTAACGGGCACTGTTGCTCTGTCATTTCTTGCAAGTCGTTATATTCACATCTTAAGCCCGAATCTCGGGAATCTCGGGAATCTCCAGATCGGTAAGCCCGATCTGGATGGGAAAGCCGGTTCTTCGAGTAAACCGTCGACTGCTCAGAAACTCAAAAAGTTCATCTGTAAAAGAAGGAAAATCGAAAAATCTTCACAAGCTCCGTTAGCATCAGGTACTCATGTTTTTCATAGGAAGAATTTTTCCGAATCATTGCTTGGCTAAGGATCGTATATTCATATGTAGGTGTTGAATTTTCATCGTCTGGAACATCTTCATCGTCGGCATCATCCGACAACGAAGGGGCTCATGGAACAGACCTTACCGCAGTTTGTGGTATGAGCAAAATTATGCCAAAGCCATTTTTCAAGCCAAGGTTGAGCGCTAGAATTGATGATCACTCGATTGAGTGGTACACCTTAGGCAATGAGATCGTTTTAGACATTAAGCTTTGCGGTTACAGATGTACAGAATACTATAGTAATCATGTGAGATTCCGAGGGCACTATTTACATGAATTACTTAATTTTTTGAACGAAATACCGAAAATTTATGAAACCCAACTTCCTACACAAACTGCTCCGCTCAAATATTAAAAACTTTGTAAAGGCTTAGAATAATTAGTTAATATTTGTAAATGCAGATCTTATGGACCACCTTTTTCCAGATCATTTGCTAAATGGTTGTATCGTGTTTAATAAGGGGTTCGGAGGAAAGTCTTACTTGCAATGTACGACAATCGGTGAAGAAATTACCATCACCATTGGCGGAAATTCGCTTTTTGAGTTCATTTCAATGAACAGAAGTCAGTTTGGCGAGTTTTTGAAAGTGTTGAATGAAATGAAAATCGAGTGTCACAATCTCTTCGATTTGGACGGACCTTTAGACTTAACTACTAGGCAATAGGATTTTAGTTAAATATGAATAAAATGTTTCCTGCACACACAAAAATTGTTCAATCTTATTTATTTCTAGGTGATAACGACGGGAAACCTGACGGTATCACTAACGAATTATTTTCTTTTGAACCTGTTATTTTGTGCTTTGCCAATTCTTTTGCACATCAATACTTAGTATAACTACCTGCTTTATTGACAAAAGAAGAAAATCGACTTTTCATTTGTTCCGTGCTTATTGACAACAATGATTGGCATTGAAACGCATGCAGCAATGATTCCTTGTTTTCGTTCGGAAACTGTTGAATACTGTCGCCGGTTAACATAAACTAGATGCAATAACTATCCCCGAATATTTTCAATCGGATTTAGATCCAATAATCCCAATGGCTAAGGCAGAATGTCGATATTATTGTCTTGTAACCATTTCATTGACCACCGAGGTGCATAATATAGGGTATTATCTTGTTAAGAAAGCCGCTTTCACTTCCGAATTTTGGTTTCCGAGAAAGTAAATGCTCTCCTGAATTGTTTTGATAACCGTATGAGGTCAACGGAGTCGGAACAAACACGATTTCGGACCACATCCCTTGACCGATGAACCCCCAGATCATGACACAATCTCCCCGCCTTTGTTTGTGGGTAAGGTTAAGTTGTCTTTCCCAAAATCACGAAAACAATACTTTTTCCTATCAGGACCATCAAATGTAAATCGTTTTCGGCGCTAAATACGGTGCTCCTTGACATAGAGGTCCACGTCGTTCGGTATTTTGCCCTTTGCAATCGACCATTTTTGTGTTTCTGGGAGAACCAACGCTTCATCTTCATTTTCCTGTTTCGGACGGTGGGAAAAGCACACCCGACTTTATTTATCGTTGGTCATTTAAAAATAAGCTTGTTAACCGCTTTAACTTGTTTTGCCGTCACGATGGAGCTGCCTGAGGGACTTTGAATGATGAATTTTTTGTCTTACATCATTTGAGCTTTGCTTTCTCGCATCTTTGTTCCATCAGAAGTGGTTCCATTGGGGTTGGACGTTGTTACGGAGTGACCCCTGACCATTTGGTGCTTAAAAATTCTTTAAATACTCCACCGATCTGAAGGTAGAGCTTCTAACCTGCCCCTCTGTAAGATGGCTAGGAATTTATGCCCCACCATGGCGTATCTGTCGAAGAAAAAAATTAATTTACATCGACTATTGACCAAAATGTCATAAACATACTGATCAAATAATTTCTTACCCAGATTCAAATTATTCTGGCCGAGTTTAATAAAAAACAATCGATATTTTGGGACCTGTCCTTGTTTTATGAGCCACCTGAATTTCATGTTTTTGTGGATTCCCAAGTTGTCTGATTATGAAGAAAGGTGAAAATTTGCGACAAAACTACTAGGCCCCGTAGTACTTAATGGCGAAAGAAATATATAGCTATTTTGAAAGCCCGTTGAGAAATGGGGGGAATACGTTAGGTGTCCTTGTTTTATGAGTCGCAGTGTAGTTGTTTAGTTCGGTTGGTCTCTGAGATTGAGACCAAACCTACACTTTAGTTAGTAGTTAGCTATTAGTTAGTTATTAGTTAAATATTCAGCCAGAGAGCCAAACGGTCCCCTATAAAAGGACAAGCTCCAGCCCAACTTGGGATCATTCGGTTTGCAACCGTGACCGTTGCAACAACAACAACCTCCATGCAACCGAGACGGTTGCATACCTAAGATGTGTATGATCACTAACACTCCCATTTCCTTGAGCATGAGATTTGCTCCCGTGACGCCTGGGACGGGCAGATTGGTTTCCTTATATTTTGAAACTAACATTATGATTATTTCGGATAGTTTGTAAGCAATATGAATGATGCTTAATTATAAATAAAACTTTATATTTTCATTATTTAACAAAACTCCCACTGGTTATCCTTCATTTCTTTTTCGTAAGGTTGTTTCCAAGCAAAACCCCCTACAAAGTGACCAGCAGGATCTATCTACTTCCTGGGCCTACGGAACAAAGCTGAACTTGTGAGACAAGTGAAAATGAATTTTCATGAAAATGGCAATGTATAATGTGGAACCATTCACCAAAAAAATTGAAACTTGCATTATTTTTCTTTAGTTTTTATTATCCATAAAATACATAGGTAAATACTGAGAAACTACACTTAATTATATCAAGTTGTAAAGTTTATATCATCATTCAGAAAGCACTTTCAATTGGTCAGCAACAAATATTTAGCTCAGATCGTGACCATCCACAAACATCGATTCATTAATATTCATTAATCAATTCATTAATCAATCCTTATTCATTAATCAATACTAATTTGTTAATTGAGATATATCGGTTATTAATTAAGCGTAAAATTTCCTAACAAGCAGGAGCTTGGACATCTAATGCTAAACAATCGACTCTGGAAATCTTTCCGGTTTTGTTCTTTGGAAGGGAAGGAATCACGTAGAGACCGCCCCTCAATTTCTTGTACGGCGCAACCTGGTTATCCACAAATGTTCGGATAACATCTGGAGCCTCGTTCTGTGAATCTTGTTTGAGGACAACGAATGCTCGTGGAATTCTGTCCCCACCGTCGGGGTCAACCACGCCCACAACTACGGCCTCCTCAACTGAGGGATGGTGAAGGATAATTTCCTCAATTTCCGCTGGAGAAATCTGCATCAAAATAACAATAATTTTATTAGTCTTTGTCTCTCATAATCGCAAAAATTGAATTTATTTCAGTATTTGCTTACATGGCAGTTGAAGTACTTGAAGGTTTCCTTAATTCTGTCCACCACGTAGACAAAGCCGTTCTCGTCATAATATCCCAAGTCCCCCGTTCTCATCCAACCATTTTGGAAGAGGCTGTTGGTTTCGGCAGATCCCTTCCAGTATCCTGAGCACATGATGGGACTCGCAATCGCGATTTCTCCTTGTTGCTTGGGTCCCAGTCCGCGACCGTTGTCGAGGTCCAAAATTTTCATGGAGGTGTTTGGGTACAGTTTTCCACAAGAAAGTGCAGGCACGTTGGGCATGAGTTTGTACCCTTGTGATAGACCTGAGAGGTCGATTGTGGTCGTGAGCGCGGCGCATTCGGTCATCCCGTATCCGTTGAAGACACATTTGACAGAGGGAAGAGTCATCATGTCGTTGTAGAACTTTTCAGTCAGTACCATTCCTCCAGTGATAATGACCTCGAGTGAGGATCGGTCATACTTCTTGGCTTCGGGGTCAGTGGCGAGCAGAACCAGGAAGGTCGCGAATCCGAAAGCGAGGACTGGTTTGTATTGGTCGACAGCCTTGAAAATATTCTCTTTGGTGATGTCGTGCATGAGGACGGACCACACCCCAGCTTTGAGGTTTCGAATGGGAAACAGCATTCCCAGGACGTGGGTGCATCTGAGGACAAGAATGGCTGGAGCCTCATTGTATGGAATGTTGGAAGTGCCGATGGTGAAAGCCAGGACTTGAAGATTCGTGTAGACGGCACCCTTCGATTTTCCAGTAGTACCGGAAGTGCAGAGGATGAGAAGCGGATCGTCCAAATCTGCTTCTTCGCTAAGGTTTGGGCATTCTGTCAAATGAGAAATTCTAAAATTAATAGCTATTCACAACCAGAATATTATGTAAATTGATGCATGCTAAATACTTACCGGCACCATCATCTTCGAAAATTTCGCTAATATTTGTACAATCGTCAACGTCTCCAATGACCATGATTTCCACTGCCCATGGGACTTGAGCAATGGCCTGCTTCACTTGCGGTACTGAACCAGCGTCGCAAAGGACCCATTTCACATTCGACTCTTCAATCCTTGTGAGGATTGTGTCTTGTGTGTCCTCTGGATACGAGGAGTACATGATCCCTCCACATCGCCACACTCCCAACGTGAAGACGAACACTTTGGTCACGTCCGTGGTCATGTAGAGGCAAACGTCTCCCTTTTTCATCCCCCTCTTGAACATGGCACTGCCGACTGAACGGGACATTGGCTCCGCGTCAGAAAAGTTGAGCGTCTCTCCAGTGATTGTGTTTGTCTGTTGATTGAAATATTTCAAATTAATCTCTCAAAAATAATTTTGAATGTTTTTGTGCGTGTGAAATCAAATCTTAATTAACTTACCAGCCATTTGGTTCTTCCCAATTTTACGTTTTCTTTTGCAGCGTTGAGTAAAAATTCGCAAGCACTCAACGTTTCCAAATCTGGGATTGGAATTCTGGGATATGTGCTTTCGAGCACTGCGTCCTCTGCGAATACGGTCTGTTCTGGAGTTTGGGCAACCATTTTGATGGATAGCGTTTGAAAATGTAGTTAGTTTTTCAGTTTGGATAATTTGCTTACTCGCTTGAAACCAATACCTGAACTAAATTTGGAACACTAGGTGGTCAAGTATTTATAGGGCATCACTTGTACGTGTAGCAAGCCACATTGACCATGACTTTCGATAACCCAACAACCCTGGGAAAGTCCGTCGGGGATGCCCCGATCAAAATCACGGAATAAATCTGTGCTCGATTTGATCACAGGTAAATCCCAATTATTCATTATATGAAAAGCTCGATACGATAATGCTTACATAAAATAATTCGCCCCAAGTTACATCATTTATGGCAAAATCCAAAAGTCCGGTGCGAGGCCATCAATGTTAATAATGTAATTAAGTTGTCATTAAATTGGTTCAAGTGCCAGTCAGACTCATGTTCTTTGTAATTGAAGGTTTTTCCATAATTATGACCACGAAACTATTTCTGACCTAGCACTTGATGTCACTCCTCCCATGCAAATCAAATACGAAATATAGGTACTCACTCACCTGCAGAAGCGTATTGCATGCAACAACTTGTACGCATACAATGTTATACATATAATATTGTTCTGATTACGGTATTACATGCAATTGTCAAATAAATAATTGAGGTCCACTTTAATCGATTAGGTATCAATTGCTTGCAAAGTGTCAATCAAAATGATGGATGGGAATTCCGGCAAGGATTCGTCATGATTTTCAATTGCTGGATATTTTCAGCACCAAGTTTTGCACACCATGCTCAATTACTTGAACCTCGATGGTTACACAACAAACTTGACAATATTGTTAAATAATTGCATCGGTAATTGTTGTGAGTATGAAATAGTATATAAGATGTCTTAATAAGCAATTAGGCAACGTCATTTCAAACTGGGCATTAGTGAAGGCTGTTTCGTGAGAATCCTTGTATGTATTTTGTATAAAATACTTTAACTGCTGTTACTTATATAGGTATCTAACTTTTAACCCCATAATTCACATCAATTTATTTCCTCCTATTTTTATAACATCTCAATTCCACAATAGTTATGCATTAATTATTAATCAGTAGGTTAGGAAGAGTTTAAGAAGAGCTTAAATAAAAAAATAACTTATTTTGTATTTTTCATATATACTTAAAGGCCATAATGGAAGATAAATCTCAAAAACAATTAACCTGTACTAACTTTCGGTAATCATTTAAAACTATAATTATTACTATTCCATTTCTTTTCCCATATGTACACACATTGATAAGATAACGAAGAACACTAAAATATAAAAATATAAAAACGGGGAAACTTAAGCGATTTAAAACGAAACATAAAAATATCAGTTCCTTTCAGTTCTTGCATTTAAAGAACAATTAAATAATAATACTTTGTTCATCTGGTCTTGATTAACAATGACTTTTACGAAGTTATCTCATTTCCTTGCGCTTATTTGTGCCCTTATCCATCTCGCAGTTGTCGCGACCTTGTGGTAGATTCCGGGCTGGCGATCAACCGCACAACCAAATCCTGCCGAGGTAATCCCTGCCAGAGTCCATCTTCCCTCGTTCATCACGATTAGCGGACCTATGCACACGCAATCGTTTATAATCATGCTAGATTGATTTACTGTGTTTTAGTTTGTGCTCCATTACCTCCAGAATCGCCCTGATCAGAGCAAAAAGAAAGAATATTTTTAATTATCTAATTATATTTATGTACAACTTATGCTATGTTACCAAGCAAGCGTCCATGAGACCATTCCTGTGCCCGGCGCAAAACATCTCGTCGTGAAGTTCGACTCGGATATGTTTTTGATGGTGCCAGCGACGACACTCGTCTGAAAAGTTTGAATAGTTTCCACCATTAAGTCACAGTTGAACAAATATGCAAATGGTTCTCACTCACCATTCGGGATGACAGGAACTAAGACCTTCTGCAACACGTTGGTCCCCGTTTTACCTACAATTTTGTTTTCAAAATGTAAGACGTTAAAAATATGTGATACACTTAAGACATGACGAAATATATAACATGGATTTAACAAGATACGAATCAAATATTTATGAGTAACATTTCAGCTATTCATTCATGTCTCATCAAGTTCAAGATATTACCATAAGAAGTCGTGGTTTTTCCCCACCCTAAAATACAACTCGTTAGAAGCAACCGTTCCTCTGGCCAAAATTGGTTTATAAGTTTCTACCTGAGACAATCCCCACGGTCATGGTAGTCGGGAACGTTGGGTCATCTGGGGGCAAACAAATGGGTAAAATGTTGGCCTTGTACCGGACAGGACGATGCAATCTGAGGAGAGCAACGTCGAATCTGAAAAAAATATAATAAACTCTTGTTCGCACTCTGTGGGAGGAATTATTTAAAAAATGCTTTTCGAACCGATCCGGTTGTGTCAGCATGTATTTGAATCGTGGGTGAATAATTCTCTCCACAACGGCGAAGCTTTCTTCTGGCAGGGGTTCCATCCACCTCCCAGTATTTTTTGTGTCATGCTCTCCCAGGTAAATTGTAATGTCGGACAACTTACTCCGGTGAACACAATGCGCTGAAATGGTACAAATTATTACCGGAATTTGTTATGATTTCGGGAATAGTTGTTTTATTACCGGCTGTAGCTACGTAATAATGATTCACAAGTACTCCCCCACATTGGAATCCGCTAATTCGGATATGAGCTTGCCATGGGAGTTCGCCGAATGAAGCAGTTTGTCCTCCAATGATTCTGTAGCATTTACATATGCAATTAATTTTAGCAAGTAGAACTTTCGCAACCCATGACCTACCGTTTTTGGGCAACCATTTTTTGAACGCCACACTCTAATTGAACCATAGGATTTTGATTAAGTTTTATATTATCTCTGGTCTTTAAGCCATTCATGATCGTACTCACCGACTTCATAGTCATTGACGGAAATGTCATTGCTTTCAATTGGTTCAGCGCGTCTGTGATCTTGTCGCGTGGAGATAAATGAAGTAGTAGAAGCTGCCCTGTAAATATCCGTAAATTCAAAGTCTTGTATGTGAAAACAATTTTCCAACCAACTTACGTGCTTTGACACCCCGTTCTGGTCAACCAGCACAAAATTGCAAGCGTGCATCCTGTCCCGGAACAATTTATTCCGGAAGGAAAGACGCGTGGAAATAGTCGAGGAAGAAAATGGGAAGATGTGCTATCTTGTCGTGCTGAAAGTTAGGAAAACCATTTTAAACCTCAAACATCCACATTTCACATTGACGCTAAACTTGTTGGTTTTGAAAAAAATAAGCCATGTCGCAAATTACACGTGACATGAAGATTCATATCAGCGACTAACCATTTCTATGAGGTCCACCAACAATCCAGGAGTGAGACAGACTAAAAACTCCCACGAGGAAGAGGAAGGAAGTGCTCCTCATCATATAACAGTTCCCTGGCTAAAAAGGGTTTACGAAGATCACTAATTTCTAATCTATGTAATTCCACACACGCACACACACTCTGCTTAATCCCTCGTTCACTCCATGCTTCAGTATTTTATTGTATTCAGCACTATTTCAGTTCACACTTTTACAACCTCCACATCTCCAGCAAAGCAAACTGTAACCAGAACTTTCTCTCCAGCAGTAGATCTCAATTCCAGAAAATCTTTCCCCAAGTGAGATTGAAATTGAATTGATTCATAGTGAGTGACTTTATTTCCGGTGGTAGCTCACGAGCGAATTTCCATTCTCAGTAATAAACTGTCAACTGTAAAAAAAGAGCACAATTTTCCAAAATCACTTTCATTTTCAATTTCCACTAATAAATTTCACTATCACCACAACGAACTGAACCAACCACTGCACTGCTGCACTTACTGTCTCATCTCACTTTGACAGACGTCTTTTTTGGTTCATTTCTTCAGTGACTGAGTGAGTGAGATGCACTGACGACTAGTCAAGTATGAAGTGCAAAGTGAGACTTGGCAGAGGTCTTCTTACCCGTGGTGAGTGAGTGACAATGGGCTAATCAACACTTGCACGCCATACATATTGCACAAAGAACAAAACAAATGACAATTTCTTCAAGTCACTTACTTTGCTCATGTTTTTCTCTTCTATGATTATATTATCTCGCCATTATTGTTATGCAGTCTCCTACTGACTAACTGGCAGCCGCAGTTTAATTCTGTACGTTTGTAGCAGTGGTATAGCCGTAATAAGTAAGGTACCTGTTCGTTAGTTAGTTGAATCTGTCTCAGTCAGTGATAGCAATGGCCACCACTTACTTAACCAAACCATCAACCCCAAAGTAAGCGATCTCTGTTGTTATTTCACATTGGACTGCATTGTGGAAAATAAGGAAAACTTTGGGGAGCACAATGAGATAAAAAAGCATCATTACACTTTCCAATTCCTTGTATGCATGCATTTATACGGCTAAAAACGAATGGATGGATGTGAATTGGATGCGTAATAATAATGGTTTTGACGATGCTTCTTGAGTTCACTGTCACTTTTATGTAGCGAGTTCTTTAAACCAAGAAGGAGATACCGTTTACAGCAACGTGGCTGTGGTAAATTTGCTTAAAATTTACAATAACTTATGTGTCATTGCCATTGCCATTCATTATTTGGCTTAATTACAGTTGTTTAACAAGTAATTATTACCTTAGTCCAGCCTAATGTCAATTTATTTTGTAAGAAATCGTCCTGCTTGATTTGTTACATTTTGCATTATCTTATACTGAACCCTTCAAGAAAGTCTGGTTGTGTGTGTACCCACCAACCAACCAACCACGATAAGAAATAAGTCTTTTCTACATTTTAGGCAAAAAAAAGTATTTGCGAGTAACAACAAATGCACAGCAACTTGATTTACACGTTTTGTTGCTCATCAGCTTTCGATTTCATTTAACAAACATCATCATACGTGCTTTGTAATGCTGTGGCGCGGCACACGGTGAGCAAATACTTGTGTCGAACGGGTTTATTTACCATCAATTTTATCAGAGTTCATCATTATATTTATAAGTTTTGTAAGATCCCCAAATGCATAAGGAGCCACATGATTTTAGCTGTCGTGATTACAGTTCGAAATTTTGGATAAGTATAAAAATTAGCCGTATTGTCTTCTCGCAGGGCAACAAAGTTGCATAGGAGAAGATTATCCAATTTTTTGTAGATCCATTATAAATATTGTAGATATTACCTATTACACTACCCATCATCATCAAACCATTGATGAAACGCTGCCAAAATTTCTAATCGTTAACATCATCCCAAGCTAGGCGATAGGCTAGACGATAAACCAGTTCAGAAGCTGGTTGGTTACAAATGGATAGAAAATAATAATGGCAATATTGTCAAAACTTAATATCGTGCATGTTCCTTTATAATATCTCCTAAGTTAATTATGATAATATACAATTATTTCAAAGTGTTAACAGAAAGCTCTCACTGTTTTCCAATGTGTCAAACTTACTTTTCATGCACAATTTTTTTGAGTAAATATGTATATAATTGCCCATTTCTATTAGTGGTTAATGTCTAGGGTTAGTAATCTATGCAAAAGTAAGTGTTGCATCAAATTATAAAATAAAGTTTTCAAATTTCTTGATTTTATATTTTATGTACTCGGATTTTTGCAAATTTCTTAAATCGCAAGTATAATTACTTTGTTTTATTGCTATATCAAAACTAAGTCGAGTAAATGAACTCAAGTAGCGAAATGACCTACCCTGAGGCTAGCGTCCATTATTTCAAGCATATGCGTGCATGCATGTATGCAGTACCTTCTTGCTTCTTATTAGCGTTGCAATTACATGCATTTCTTGTTGTAAATTGTGGTACAGATATGAGAGGAGGACCAAGTATGTACTGTGCATATGAGCAATTTTATACTTTGATCTGTGCAAAACTTTCTTTTATCTCTCTCTCGCCCCCCATTTATTACATGATCGTATCTCGCCTGGAGTGCAGGCACACATACAAAAATAAAAATATGCCTTTTAATCTGCATGCTTTGCTTGTCTCCTTTCGTAAATCTTTAAATGGTTAAACCCAGACTTAATCTCTGCTGATGATCGTCTAGCCCCTCACGTAATTTAATAATTTGAGCTCCTCGCACGCTGCATTACATCAGCAAACACATACATAATTTCCTTTTCTACCATTATGTAAATTGGCAAAAGCTGCCAAAAATAGTTTTATATGTGTGTACAATACACTTAGCGGGGACGATAGGAAAAGGAAAGTTGTATAATGTAATGAAACCTTGCGCAATAAAATTAGAAGCAAATAATATTTTTTTCTAGATTTTTGGGCATGAAATTTCTTCTTAAATTTTTCAAGTTAAAATAACGATTTTTTAAAAATTAATAATAACAAGGAAATACGTAATAGTACATTTTGCTTTCATTTTCATCTCGTTCATGGCAAAAAAATCTCAAGTTCAAATCTCAAGTGCAATAATAATGGTTTAGCAAAAGTATGATATGCAATAAAACACGCTGACCAAGTGCCTTCTTCTTCTACCTTCCTCCCATAATTTCTATTCAATTTCGATCTTCTTTTGAAGCAGTCAAGCCCAAAATGCATTTCCGTTATTAAGTAGCTTCAGCTACTTTATGTGAAGACTTTGTCCGTCTGTCCGTCTGTCCGTCTGTCCGTCTGTCAGCAGGATAACGGGGGAACGGATCGAGATAATCGAAATCGGTTTTCGCCATTATACATATGACCCTAGGGGGAGGATCCTATCAACTTTTGGGGGCAACCGGACCACCCCCCTTGGCGCCAGGGGGTGTGGTCGGGGCAAAATGAGATTTATAGTGCAATTTGATCTATGGATGAAATAGAGTGAAATGAAGTGATCCCGAGTTGTGCCACACCCCCTCCGCGCCAGGGGGTGTGGTCGGGGCAAAATGAGATTTAAAAAAATTGAATCTATAGGTGAAATGGAGTGAAATTGAGTGTTTTCGCGATGTCATGGGAGTGGTTGGGGTGAAGTAGTCTGAAGCTACTTCCGTATGCGCGTTTGCGACGGTTTATTTATTTTAGAAGGTAATCATACGGTGCACTATTGCTGCACAGCCCACAAACTTGAAAAACTGGATTCAATTTTTAATAAGAGTTCATAAATTTGTTCAAGGCCTAATGAGAATGAGATTTACGTTGGTGGATGACAAATGATTACATGTAGATTGACGATATTAATACGGCCATCGACATGTACATCTACTGATAGATAATCAGTCGTCCTCAACCAGTAGGAAAACCACCGGATTAAAAATATTATTTAAACATAATTAGAAATGAAGGAAGGCGTGCTAAAGTTAATTTAATTTGGAATGATTAAACTTTCCCTGTCAAAAAAGCTGCTGCTAAAAAATAAGACGCGATGACAGACATTGTAAACCATCTGACACCTCTGACGAAAGAGTATTTATTTGCACTGCTTCGAAAAATAAATAGATTTTGTCAAATCTAAAATAAATCACTTTATTATTTTTGGAGACGAAAAAGTTGAAAGTAAAGTGGAAAGTGGCGCTGTTACCTAAACAAATTATGTAATGACAAGGATGGAGAGGTTTAAGGTAAGAAATGATACGATCTACACGTTTATCTACCATAAACATAATATGAGTGTTACATGAGCATTCTTATAGCTTACACTTTTTTATCGCGTTGTTCGTCTTATTTTATGAAATGATAGCAAGTTTGTGACAGACAGACTGCAAAATTCTAACTAAAATACATTTCAACGCATGACATTATCAACGTATCAAATTTAGCCCATATCGTACATGTGTATATGACTCATATGATATAAATAAGCCGTTTTCACTTAAGGAGCAGTTACATAGATCTTATCTTGCGGTTATCAAAGTCTAAACCGCAAACCGTGTGACAAGCTGATAAAATGTTGCAGATCATTTATCTCATTTCCGTTTCGAAAAAATACATACAATAGTTTATTAAGATTCAGCAACTGACTGGAAAAATGGAGAAACTTACAAAACACGTTCATCAAATATATATGTGCAGTTGGGGGTAATATATATTCCTCTGAATGCCTTAATAAGTGAGTAACAATGACAAGAAGAGTGATCTTGATGATGACGATGATGAAAATGCGTATCGAAATGTTTATCAGTGCGTGTAATCACGAATCAAAAGTAGAAATACATACAAACCAACGCTAAATGACATTGAATCGAATCGAATGAATATTTAATTTCAAAACGTCTTCTATTTTTTCTTTTCAAAAATTAAAATGTTAGCATAGCTTTCTCATTTCGTTTGGAATGCATGATCTCACCCGTTAAAAAATATCTGCTGCATTGCAACGTGCCGAATTTACATTCAGTCGTGCACAGTTTTTAGAAAGAATGCATTTTTTACACTAAAAAAGTTCCACTCCAACTTGACGACTGTCAAAATATTGTAATCAATATTGGATGGAACTGTCATGTTAAGTGATTTAATAACTGGCGACAGTAGGGGTTGACGACCAGCAGGTCCCACAATAGTGGAAACATGCAAGAAACCATATTTACATACTTTGGTAAATATATATTCGATGAAATTGTGAGAAAGTGAAATAATTTTGAATTTCAACTTTTTTCCTAAAAAAGAAACTCGTGTCCGTATCACAATATCATAATCATCATATTCCAATAAATTGTCATAATAAAATAGTGTGAAAAAACATGACTCAATAAACATGAATAATTAGTAATTTGAATACTAAATGACTCGAAACGAAACGACTCTTGGCTTTGAAAGGTGTAATCACACGAGGTGTGTGTAGCCTGATAAGACCAGTTATCTCTCCTGTCACCAATTTATTATTATTAATTAGCACTATTGGCAGCCAATGTGCATTAATTTATATTCTGAAGGAGTAACAGTGTACGGAGAACTTGTTTCAGCTATTTTTAAAAATTTTGGTGAGCATGAAATTACATAGTTAATAATCCGGAATCTCACAAAAAAGGTGCATTCGCTTGCCTGATTAATTCATGAGATCCAGTTTCATTACATTGTTGAACGTGGTATGCGCAAAGAATTTTAAGTCATTTTCATGCAAAAGATGCGGCTTCTTTTTTTTCGTCACATGAGGAATATTAAATTTCGTGAAGAAACTTAATATGCGCCGCAATTTAGACGCATGCAAATAATCTTATAAGCACTGCGGCGAATTTTCCTTTTGAAGTGAGCTATTACTCATGAAATTACAGGATGGAATACAAATTATTGCAAAGTAATTCTAAGAGTACTTAAGTTGGAAATAAATTTTCCTCTTGCATTTTATAATTTTCTAGAAATACTCTTTTTAAAAGTAAAGCGATCCCTTTAATTGACTAAAATAAATAAAAATATTTAAATCGGGTTCTCAAATGACGTCTGAGAGGAGAGATACGAATCTAGAAAATAAGCAAGCAATTTACTATTGTCTTTCAATTTGCAACTACAGAGTTAACAAGCCACTCACTAACTTCAGTAAAGAATGGTTAAAGAATTGATTTTTGGAAATTTAAATCGTGTTTTGTAACAAGTGCAAGTAATTCATGTCCTCAGTCAGTTTATGACGATGAAATAAAAAGACGATAAATTCCACTTCGAATGTACCAAACAACCCCTCGAGCAGATATCCCTCCTAATGCACTACGATTGTACATACGTACATATTTAAGTATGTATTTTAGTTGTCGTAGATCTAGCATCAGTTTAGTAAATTAGGGTCGTAGAAAGTGAGAGGAAGCCCCAGCAGCAGCCGGTTTCACCTCAGAAGACAAGAGCTCATACGTACGTAAATGTACACTTGAAGCCCTCACTGATTTAAATATTCTTTGTCGTGTCATGCAATTCGTGATCTAAAACGGTTACGGTGTTCGTAGTAAACGAATAATAATGCACTTTTTGACTTCAGAATTGCATTTGTTTCACGGTGCGCTAATTAATGGACGAAGAATGGATTGATGATGATAAAATATTGCAATTATGCGACTACTGTTTGTTTGAGGTTTGAGACAAATTTGAGATGACGTTCACAATCTTGCCTGTCAATAGTATTCATCATTCATTAGGAAGTAATGATTGACTTTGTGGTGCACCTCGAAATTAAATTTCATCGCATTACGTATTGCGGTAGTTGTCATTAGGATTTGTTGCGTCGCATTTATTGACAAGGTTGAAAACACCATGAATGATTTTCTCTCTAGGTTTTATATAACAGAAAACTTTCAGATTCATTTTCATCAGTTGAAAAATTATGCAGTAAAGCGTTTATGCATGAAAAGAATTAAAAATTCAAGTTAAAAATGTCCTCTAATGCCGATGTAATTGATCAATTAATAGAATTACATGTGTTACAAATACCCATAAATTAAATTAATATCGCATATATATATGCGATATTTATTTTATTTTATTTTATTTTACTATATATATATAGTAAAATAAAATACAATTTTAGTAAATTTAAAATAAAATTTAAATAAAATAAATTTAAAATAAAATAAAATTTCAATATATAATAAACACTGCATCAAGATGCAAACACAGTTAGCTTTTGTGTCACTTGTTGCAAACAAACCACATTAAAAACTTGGGGATACAAATACTTACGGATTCTGTGTATGAAAAAGATCGTTTGATTGTCTTCCAATCCAGAATTTTCAGGTGTTTTCCCCACGTGTTATTTTTTTTTACTTTGAGAACCTTTATTCGACCACCATATATGATCAACAGCACGTGTCAACTTGCTTGTCATACATAAACGTCAAATGCATTCGTGGCTTGACAAATTTTTATGAACAATTTAGCGCATGTGATGTCTTGTAAGGTAAAAAATCAGACAATAATATTCTCCTCCTGAGAAAGTTATAGTTTACTTTGTCTCGTTTACCAAACCGAGAAACTTTTACAAAGTGTCTCGAGGTTTTATCCGTCAGAAAATGAAATCCAATTAGTATTTTCTATTGTTGACACAAAGATGAGAGGAACTGATTCAATCACACGCAAACAGCACAACACCAATGTTCACAACTTGCGTCCATACCGGTATAAAAACTTGGATTTATGACAACGACAGCTATTTTTTTAACAAACTCATCCCAACAGAACAAAAGTAAGAGTGATCCAATGGCGATAGTAAACCCAATTGTAAATAGTGGATAAATGGTATCAAAAGCAACAATTACATTTTTATGTAGCATTAAAGGCTGTGTGTGTGCATGTGCTTCTTCTCTTCTTTCACACAGCTTCCGTTCTCACCATCAAGATTTCAAATTGTTGGTAAGACAAAAGTTTGCGAGCAACAATCTGCATGCATATGCTTAGTGTGTGCGTATATTACACTGCAGTGCAGTGGATATGAAACAAAGTCAAGTTCAGGATTTTCATGAAACGATTGTGTGATTTCAACTAATAAAATAAACCGTCTCAAACGAACGTAAAAAACTAGTGTCATACAGTAAAATGACATGACAATTATTGACATTTGGCCTCGTCCTTACGGTCATGAGTTGGTCAGAGGTCAAAAATATTGACGGCGTTGATTTCGTGGTGAAATTTAAAATTAAATCAAACATGAAAATTATGCTTAAGCATAATTTTGGACCACGCCCCCTGGAGCTTTTGGGGGTGGTCCTATTGACCCCATTATCGAACTCGATCCAGAATTAAAAATTAGAAGCACAATGGCGAAAACGGAGTTTGATTATGTTGAGACATTTTGCAGATATCCAGCCTATGGACGGACAGACAAAACGATCACAATAAACGGCTGACACCACTAAATAAGATGAAAATGCACTGTCAGCAGCGGATGATAACATGCATATGTGCAAAATGAATGAATTGCGATGTACTACGTCTGCTAAAAAAGTCCACATTCAAACATGTGCTATGCCATCCCATTGGATTTTTATATTGTATTTGATACAATGCCAAGTCAAGTCACTGAACGAACTTGACCTTTAATTTTGGTTGGGGAGATGTGTACCACTACCGGTTGCATGCATGTAGTAAATTTTAACGTAGTAGTGGAAGAAGATATTACTCATTATTGGGGAGTAAATTCACGTAGAAAATTTAAGAGAAATTTATGTGGTTGTAGTATTGCAGATTACGAAATGTGAATTGTGGGATAACGAATTACGCCAAGAAATAATTAGTTTTGTAATCATCAAGTGCATTATTTGAAATCTAACAAGACTTTTATGATGATGATAAGCATGATTTCTCTCAGATGATGTTGAGGTGGCAGGTTGATTAATTGATTGACAAGCATATAGATAATAAAATATCAAATCAAGAAGGATTGTAAATAGTTTATTTTGTTAAATATAAATAGTAAAATAATTAATGAGTCTTCAACTAATTTAGCTAATCCACAAAAATGAATGCCATCACACCCACCATCATGACGCTCAACAGGGTGAGAAGCCCTCCCTTCTTCAAGGTCAATAAGGTTGACATGACCCCATTGCAACCATCCGCGTCCGAACAGAGGCAAACTTCCAGCTGGGCGTTGGTCACGTCGACAGGTTTCTTTGCATTTGCGAGTGGCCCGTCCCTTAACTGCTTCCAGAAATTGGGACGTGGAGATTCGCACATATTGTTGAAATTGTTGGGGTCGGAATATCGCGAACTTTCCTTCTTCCCTTGCTCCTTGCCGTAACATCCCCGGATCATGATGTCAACTCCGGTTTCCGTTTTTATAATAGTTTTGAGACAGCCAAGTTTAAACTGGGTTTCGGGCGTCATTTGCTTAACAGTGATGATTTCCTCTATTTAAATATTTAGATTTTGTAAATATGTACATTCACATGTTCCAGATACATGAATTAATTTCTTACTCTCGTTTAAAGCATCGCCATCATTGTTGCAGGGACGATACGTAGCCTTGGTGGTGGTTAGGTGGACGACATCCTTGCACTTTAAATCCTTCAGCACACCCCCGACAAACATGCAAGTGTGACATTGTAGTCCTAACATTAAGAAACAAGTTTAAAAAAAAGTCCGTCTGGAAATATGCGTCATTTTCCACAATATTCTTACTACTTACCACGCACTGGTGTAAAGCACGCCACAACAAGTAATAGCACCCCAAAACTAAAAGTGGTACGCACTACCTGGAAATTTTGAGACATTTGTCTCACCAAGCAGAAATCCAGCGTACTTTAGCAGTGATCCTATTTATTAAAGGAATATGTAGGAAGTCAAGACCTCTCGAAGTACGCGTGTCGTACTATTATTTATAATAATCCTTGAAAAAGTGGGGTTTTAGTTCATTTCACTAATTGAAATGTTTGTCGGTGAGAGCGGAAGGAGACGCATACATGCAGAGAGGAGCAACAGATAGAAAATGACTATTAACAAATTCCTGGAGACCGGACGGCCAAGCTTATTTCGTTCCCTCCGGCTTTCTCTCTTGCTTTCTCTGCCAAACTTTCCACATTACTCACACTCATGCACTCGTCAAGAACAGGACCACCACCACTTTTCCTCAGGGATCTTAACTAAACAAACACACACGTACATATGCAGATTGTGACGACCAAGTCAAAATGGGAGGAAACATTCAGACATCTAGTCCATGATTTGAATCTGTGGAGTTGAATCTGCTTTGTTTAGTTATTTGCATGTGTTCTGCATGTGGGTGGCTGGCTATATCTGACAAATACTGAACAAAAACAGATCCCCCCATTAGAAATATTTCGTGAATGATGGGCAAACATTTCGGGATGGTCTCATCTCATACCGGGCTGGAAATGAGGAGATGTGTACGTATCACCGTCGCATATTCCGTTGGGTAAGTCAAACTTTTGTTAACAAGGAGAAATCGACTTCTTTTCAAAGCATATGTAGGCTTTTTGCTAAACAAACTTGTTGGATGTCGAAAAGTAGTCCGTGATGTGTAAACATCTCGGGAGTATATTATTCTCATGAAAAAATGAAAATTTTCTTAAGCCACCAAGGATTTCATATTGATATGTTATCCAACTTTGATCCATTTCTAGTGGAAAAAGTTGTAAGGAAAGGAGAATTTCAAAAGAAAGAAGGCAGCCATATCCGGAGTAGAAGGGTATCATTAAGAAGTCTGGCTTATTAGAAGAAATACCAATTTCCGAGAATCGAGGAATTGGAAAGAGCTTTGAAATCTCTTTGAACTTGTATCGTCGTCTTGCGTAATAATAGCTACAGAGGAAGGAACGTGAGACTGTGCTCAGTTTCGCGAGTCCAATTCTTGACTTGTCAGCTAAAGCAGTTTCATGACATTTTCACTCAACAGAGTGAAAGTATGAGTATCATGTAAAATATTGTGGTACAATAAAAAGAAAATCAATAAAAGTATGCATGTATATTCATTTCGCAACTTTTTTTTGCAACTTTTTTTTTATGTAGAAAAAATTGTTTGCATCTCTTGTTCATAATTTATATTATGAGAATGCAAAATATGCCCCAACTGGACGAAATAAAATGAAGGTGACATGACATAATGCTCAACTCGAGATTCATGCGAATTCGTTAGGACGAAGATGAACGAAATTCAATTGTGAGAAACCTTTTAAAACTCGAGACTGATTTTTTTCTCCGTCTGCCGGGTAAGAAGACAAGGTGCTTTTCGGGTTTTCTATTTATACTCGCATTGCACTCGAATGCTCGTTCTCAAATTGAAGAGTGCTCAAACTACTTCGGTATCTATCTCGAAATTTTGAAATTGTAATTGTAAAGACGTCAACTTTGATTGTGTAAATATGTACGTGTACATAGTATAAGTTTGATTTTCTCATCGCACTTTATTTCATGTCATATTAAAAATTTATGTATTGGAACATGTTTACTTATTACATAGGATTAAATTCATATTTTGTAAGGTTTTCGCAGAAAATGAAGAAAGTTTGTTTAAATAATTAGCTACTACATTTTGAGTTAACCCAAATTCAAGGTTCATTTCTATGTTGAATGCGTGGCCAAGTCATTGAATCATAAAACAAGTGCGCTTATGGTATATGCGATGAGCATTAACGAAAGGTCTAATTCGCTAAATAATACGTTAGGCAAATGTTTAACTAGGATTGAATTAATTTGCCTTCTCGGACTATAACATAATTTTGCGGCCTTCGACTGAAATCTGTACAGCTCGTTGAGTCTTGGATTGCTTCTTCTTTTCGATAAAATTTCTCACGTGTTTGTCCAATCGATTTGCTTGCTTCTTGTTTTGCTGTTAAAAAACATTAGAAATATATAACGTTGGCAATTTGGCATTGAAAGAAAAAAATGTGTTTATGTTTATGAAATGCATTATGAAATGTTGTTTACAAACCTTTGACATTTCCACTTCACTATTCCATTTAGGACGAACTACATAGTCCTTGGTTGAAGGTAGTGGAACACGAGCTGTAAAGAAAACAGATTGATTTAAAATTTTAAAAAATGAGATGATTAAACTTTTGTATTTTAACCAACCTCTAGGAACCCATCCTTCTTCACCAGGTCTTTTTGGCCTATAAAAAATTAAAATTAATAATGGTTCGAAAAAGTGATACTAATCATAATGTCCTTACTTCTTCTCGCCATCTGCGCTTCCGCCCATTTCATCTCCCAGTCCTCTGCGAGAAGTAGAACCTTCAGTTTCGCCTCGACGAGTAGACGGCATTTGTTCCAAATCTCTTTGTTCTCTCTCCTCTTTTGATAAAGCTGTAAATGATAATAAGTGGTTAATGATATAGTTTAATAGGATATTTGGTAAATTTGTATCTGATCAGAAAATCATTTTATTTGAAATAAGGGTGTGATTCATTCATTTAAGTATGACGGCATTAAAATAAATAAAATCTAACCTTTAAAATCAGTCGACAGTTTGAAAATAGGACGAGCCCATTGATTAATAAGACGTCCTGCAATTCTCTTGTTATCTTTAGTTTCCTTTGGATGTTTATACAAGTACATGACAGCTTTTCCAATTCCAGACTGCTTGAGAAGACCTTGGTCAATAGTTGGGAACTAGAATCATAGCCAGAAAAATCATGCATTAGTAGGAACAACCAATTAAACACTTCAGAAAATTGTCAGATTAAATATTTAAAAATAAATTTACCTCAACCAATAATTTCAACATTGACTCACGAATTCGAAGAGCAGGAAGGCTCCTATCAGGCATCGGAGCCAACCAATCTGTCAAAATGGTGAGTACATTATGTTCCAAAAAGGCCATTTGTAGATCATGTTTCTTCAGCTGGGATAAGACGCTGGTAAGCATGCTCGTCTTTCTAATCGCAGGCTTTCCTTCGCGATTTGAATCACGATCATCCTATAATTAACGATATTTCGTTTCATTATTAAAATATTTTCAGATTTTAATTAATTTCATTATTATCATTTTAAACTTTTTAGACTATTTCCTCACTAGCGACAAATAAAAATTAATAGTCACCTCTGCAGCATTCCTCATTTCACCAAGCAATTGAGCAATCAAGTCATCATTGTCGTTGATAATGTCAATATCTCGTCGCTTTCGTCGCCGAGACATTTCTGCTTTTCGCTTTGCCATCATATTATCGAAATCATACTCTAAAGTTTCGTTACGATTGCGATTGCTATCCTCCGGACCTGAGTCGTCAGAATCTGAAACGTCAGGAAGTAATTTCTTTGCTTCCGGGTCTTCAACACCTTCTTCCTTGTTCGCATCAGCTTCGGCGGATTCTTCAACTTTTTTCGAGGCCCCTAACGCATAAAAAGTAGAATGTTAACTAAAGTTGTAGTGTTATTAGATAACATGTGGTTATATTGTATACCTTCTGTAGACGATGTGGAAGATGCGGATCCAGACCGACGCCTCTTAATGACTTGGCGACTGCCACGGCTTCCCCTACTTCCCCTTGAATCGTTGGAAGAAGATCTTGATCTTGACCGGGAGCGTGACTTGGATCTGGATGCAGATCTCGAACGTGCCCTCTTTTTATCGCCAATACCTATATACATACATGACCGACATCATAATAAATTATAAATACAAATACATCATGGTTCCTCAATAACTACAGATGTAAAAATTGCATTACATACCTTCAGCAGACGAAGAGGAAGAAGCCGACACGACACGACGTCGCTTTTTAATAGGTCGATCACTCTTCCTAGAATCATTCGAAGAAGACCTGGATCTGGATCTGGATCGCGAACGTGATTTTGATCTGGATTCAGACCTTGACCGTCCCCTCTTTTTCTCACCAACTGTGTGGCAAATGGAAATCATTAACAATTATTAATAATTATTATTCATTAACATTGTAAGTTAAATGAGGCCTTTACTCGTAGCAATATTTATAAATGATAAGTGAACGAATTATACCTTCAGCAGAAGATGTGGAAGATGCGGAGCCAGACCGACGCCGCTTCTTGACTGGGCGACTAATATGGCTTCCGCTTCCCCTCGACTCATTCGAAGAAGACCTCGATCTTGACCGGGATCGTGACTTGGATCTGGAGCCAGATCTTGATCGTCCCCTTTCTTTATCACCAAGATCTGTATTATCGGTCGACCCCACTAACTCTTCTTCATCTGCTTGGCCAACCTCAACGACAGCTTGGGTAGGTCCAAATTCATCCTCCTCAACCTCATCCCCACCGGTAGCTTGAGTCTGTCCAAATTCTTCGTCATCATCACCTTGAGGTTGGCCACCAACTGCTTGAGTAGGTCCAAACTCATCAACTTCGTCAACTACTTGACCTCCACCGACCGCTTGAGTTGGCCCAAATTCTTCTATTCCCTCTTCGTCATCAACCTCACCCCTACCGACAGCCTGGGTTGGCCCAAATTCTTCAATTTCATTTTCGTCCTCATCTCTGCCGTGACTAACCTCACCAACAGCTTGGGTCTGTCCAAATTCATCGTCTTCCTCGTCAACTTGAGGTGCAACCTTTTCAATGACGGCCTGAGTAGGTCCAAATTCTTCACTTTCTTCCTCATCGTCATTAACTTGTCCCCCACCAATTGCCTGTGTCGGTCCAAAATCGACTTCCTCCTCATCCCCACTGTCAACTTTATCATTATCGTCGTCAACAGTCTCAGTCGACACCACTAAATCTTCTTCCTCTCCATCTCTATCAACAAGAACCCCACCCCCTCCGACTGCTTGGGTAGGTCCAAATTCGTCTACTTCCTCATCTGAACCACGAATATCACTAACAAGCTGAGTGGCAGGAAAGTCTTCCATCTTTCCTTCCCTTCTCAGAAAAGTACTAACTTTGGGGGGGACTGATAATATTTCTCGGTGTTCACAGGAATTATATTATTTTTCAAAAAACTAAAATTTTGGATAAAAATATTTCTTTACGCTCGTCGTTCATTGTGTGTCGGAAAGTTTACGCGAACCAAATAAAATTCTTGTTGGGTTTGAGCTTTAGAGCTACGAGTGAGTTTGGCCTCGGGGTGAGCGTGGATTTTGGCCAAAAATAGTTGCTTTACAAAGGTTTTATATGCTTTTTACGAGAATTACGCTGTTTTTTAGCTATCATAGCTTAGCAAAATGTAAAATTGACAAGATATCGTGATATTGTATATACAAGATGTTCACGATTTTCTTCACTTTGAAGGAGATATTTCGATTCAATTTGTTCGTATTAATTTCTTTTGATTTATTATATGCTTTTTTCGTACAATGGTCAAATTGCATTCATTTGATTTATCTATCTCGCTGATAAAACTAAATGTACAAAAATATACAAACATCTATTTCTTCACCATTTTTTGCTTTAATTACATGATTATTAACATATTTATTCGTGTTTCACGACCAAGGTACGACATTTTTTAGCCTAAACTAATTTGCACATGTCCATGTTTCATATCTAATTATTAATATTGTACATTCCATATTTATTAGCAATAGTAATGCATTTCATTCTCAGAAATAATAGGAAACATCACAATACGCGTTACACATACGTTCAACATATTACCTCACACGTAAACATTTACATACATTACATTTACTTAATCCAAATTTACTCTATTCCCCCATTTGTTTTAATTATCTACATTAAAATTCACAAGCCAGTAACTAATTTTAATCCCGAGAGAAAGGAATAAAGGAAAAATCACCCAGTCCCAAAAATAAACGGTTTCGTATAAATGTCTGTCTATAAACCAACAACCTCGAGAAAGGTCTTCATAGTTGTGTAAGTATGTTAAAGTACAGTCGTAAAATGTTAAGAGAAGTAAAACAGTTTAACAGTAAATGAAGGCGTAAAAGAAAAAAAATCCATTCTTTGTTTGATGGCTATGGCACAGTCATAGCATTTTTACGTAAATTCACAATACGACCCCTTCGAGTAATATGTATTTATGTGTAAAACAACAAGTAAGACATTGTAACAAGTAATGGTAATAATGTAAGTTTTTTTCATAAATGTCGCTTAATCTTCAAAAGATGTAATTGTTCAGTATCCGGATTAAAAGTCCCTTCGTTCGTCCATAAACATGTCAATTGTAGTTAATGCATGGCACTTTTTGATAGGTCTAAAAATAATCGTCATTTAATTCCAGTAGCGTTCAAGTAGAAATAAGTAAGTCACCCGTCGAAGAAGCGGTAGTACTTTGCGTCCCATAAAATTGGTCATTTCGTATCTACCGATGTATGTACACCTGAGTCATTGCATTCGGTTGTAGTCATCAATCAATACATATTCACAATTAGGTCGATTTTAACAAGTCTGAATTGTACTCTGTTAAAGTAATTGGCCATTGACTATGTTCACCTCTTTCGCAGTTTTTTAGCTGAGCTATACATATGTATATCTGAGATTTTTTACCTGTGTCCCTCTCTCTGGGCCATAAATATTCCAAAAGAATTGATTGGCAGTTGGCATAAGTATAAAAAACATTGGACGACGACGAAGATACTTTACGAGACTATGTTACTTATTGGATGGAACGACGGAATATAAATAAATTATAATGACTCAATTTGTTCGCTAATTTATATAAGAATAAACTAGGAATTGGCTGCGTGCGATATCCAGTCTGCGGTATAAGCTACGCGATGATAAATTCCTGGCTGTTGGCGTTGGGCGCAGGAATATCCGGCTGAGACGATTCCGATCAGGTACCAGCGACCGTTTTGCTGTATCGTTAAGGGACCACCGGAATCACCTTGTAATTGTAATAAAAAATTGTGGTCATTTTCCGTTAAAATTTACAAATGTCTTATCAATTTACTACACACCTTGACAAGAGTCCTTTCCTCCGAACTGATACCCTGCGCACATCATTTCATCATAAATTATGACATTGATTCCTTTATCCTTGTGCCACACTTCGCAAGCCCTGCTCTCCAAGACGGGAACATCTACGGCTTGCAACGTCTTTGGCCGGAGTCGGGATCCTTTAAAAATTCGAATTGTAATTTATTTTTTAAGAAATTCTAGATCAGAAACGGCCAATTTGCAAATTGCTCACCAGGCTCTAATGCTCCCCACCCCGTGACCCAGCCGTATTGACCTCGAAACTCTGAGCCTCGATCAGGCAAACAAATAGGTCGGATCTAAAGGAAAAACAACAAGTTGCAATTATTTGATTGCGTTCATATTTTTAGTCAAATATTGACTAAAAATATACTGTTAATTCTGACTTACATGTGGGAGATAGTTGACTTTTCTATCTAGTTTTATCACAGCAACATCATATCGATCAGCCTGCGGGATAATAATAATTAGTATAAAGGTTATCATGAACATCTCACTACCTTGTAATAAAAAATGAATAAGGTTCAAGGCAAAACCTTGAACGGGTTCAAAAAATAGAACAACATATAATATCCAGTAATTAGTAAATTACCTGCGGCGTGAACTTAAAGTGGGGATGAACCTTTATTGATGATACGCCAACAGTTACGGGTGGATATGGCTCCTGTTGAATAAAAAGGTATTGATTAACTCGAATCGAATGACTTACAATGGAGGTCTCGAAGCGTATGCTCTCCGATTTTGACCAAATTAGTTTCAATCGATCACAAATTTAACTAGTATGAAATTTTTAAATAATGCAATCTCCCAATGCGCAGGTTTGGCAGAGATATTTCCATCCGAAGAGGAGAAAATGCAGAATAAATTAGGAAAGTGCAAAATTTGTCAACTTTAGGACGCGTTTACTCCTGCAAATATCTCCGAAAAACCTGAACATTAGAAGGTCGTCCGTTCGCAAATTTCATACTAATTAAATTTATGATAAATTGACACTATTTTGATCAAAATCTGAGAGCATACGCTGAGAGACCTTGAGTTTCAGCTTAACGTGGCATTGTATCACGTGTTTTTTGTTTGAATTGTTGTGTCTCAACTTTCCCTTCCTCCATGTATTCAAATGGCGATTTTGAAAAATGTTCACCGCCTTTCGTTTTTAACAATATGAAGATATTAATGCACCTAAAAATCGGTAATTTTTAGGCTTACATAGTTAGGAGATAAAAATTTTGATTTTTTTCTTCAACAAGAAGATAAATATAAAATAGATGAAAAATAATCAATGAAATTTAAATATTTCCTCATTGAAGAAAAAAATCAAAATTTTTATCTCCTAACTATGTAAGCCTAAAAATTACCGATTTTTAGGTGCATTAATATCTTCATATTGTTAAAAACGAAAGGCGGTGAACATTTTTCAAAATCGCCATTTGAATACATGGAGGAAGGGAAAGTTGAGACACAACAATTCAAACAAAAAACCCCGCATCAGCCAGCATGCTATTCTGCCTTAATATAATTTCTTAACCATACCGAATTAGAGTTGAGGACATAGTCGCCTAACGTCACTGCTATTTGGTGCGGTTGTGCTCTGTCATTATACAAAAAAATAAGTAAGTCGCATATCACAATATTTTGGCCTGATTCAGTTATCAAAACCACATAATAATCCCAGTTTTCAGAAATCCATTAAATATTATTAAGACAACAACGCAGAGAAGAAGACGATGGTTATTGGTCAGATTATAAAAAGCAGTTAAACGCGATCGTGGGATTTTCTCACCCTCAAAATTTATCAGTGTGAAAGGGAAAGTACGCACAAAGTTGCATGGATTTTACAACGGCATTCAAGCCTTCGTGTCTATTTTATAACTACTACTAGTAATTGACAAATAATAGACATGGTTCAAAAAAGACAGCGTGACTTCTTGTGACATTTTCATTCTAGAATCATTAAGTACTCTTTTTGCAGTTATGATTGCATAACTATTTTTATGAGGTAGGTCTTATTCCTGGGAAAAGGAGATGTAATCAGTCAGTACAATGTTAGTTAAGCAGATTAATAGGTGTTAAATAAGATTGCGATGTTTAATTAGTTAAAGTAAGAAAATATCTTGGAGTAATTAAATTTGATTAAATTGATAAAAGTTGTAACTTTTAGCCGAGAAAGTATTTGGATTTATAATGGATAAATATTTAGCCATCTTAATATCATTCAGAATTTCAGATTCAGCATTAAATTCGGATTAATAATTCACATAATTCCTACCTCGCCACACAATGCCCAGCCGTAATTACATGTCTCTCATTAATTAGCGAACCCCCACATCTAGAACTTCCCACTCGAATGTAGGCTTGCCAAGGGAAAGACCCAAAGCCGGCTTCTCTGCCCCCCACAATTCGTTCCTGAGCCCCCAAATTGTCAGCTGCTAGGCCGCATCCTAAAATGACAAAAAAAATTATAATCACTATTCGCATTTTAAAATTCTGTGATATAAAATATTGTATGCACTTACTCGGGTCATTCATTACAGGTCCATAGTACTCTGGTACGTCAGGGGGCTCAGTGGGCGAGTAACCAATACCACTCTTGACTTGGGAGGCGACATTGTGTCGACAGCAGGCGAAGAGGAAGCCGCCACAGCCTTTTTCGACAAGCCCCCCACTCAGCCAACTTTTTATTTCGGGAAATAAAAATAGAAATAATTAGTACAATTGCAAAATTAATTGGATCACAATTTCATTCATTTAATAAAATAGGTTGCGTCACTCGGATTTTTATTATTCCATAGCAGGAATAGTTTCCAGAAGAATGTGTATGAAAGTTGGAGAAAGTTCTTGGGGTTCAGTTTGTTACTTTTACCAATGGATAATGAGCTACTACCCCAGAGCTCCACTCGCTCTAGAATATGTCCAGCGGTCGCGGAAGCGTGGGGACAGAGGGAATGGCTTCCGCGGTCACTGAATTTGTCACCCCCACTCACTGCAGATGAGATCGTTGTCTTTGACAGGAGTGGACTACAAGTGCCTAGCTCTTATACATGGGCTCTTATGCAGGGCCAGGGGGCAGTTCAGTCCGATTTAAGTCGTGAATGTCGCGACCCAATATGACAAACGTGCACGAGGAGCATAAATTCATAAATTGCAAAGGCTTACCAAAAGAGAAAAAATTCACACGACCCAGAACTACACTTTCCAGAATCTCCCCACAAAAGACGTCGTGTCCTCCATTGAGGTGGTGCTGTTAAGATATTAAAGGTTTCACATTAAGCTATTTTTTAACCAAACTGCACATTTAATGCTCGTCAATGCAATCAATAATAAAGTAAAATGCTTGGTCATTATGTCAAATTTTATCAAAATTTTAAAAATGGATCCTCTCTCTTCCCGTGCATCCTCAATTCATTCATTGCAAACGTCATTCACAAAAATCATGACTTTTTCTTAACGTAACGTAACCCGATTCGTCACCAAGTTTTTGCGTCAGTTTGCTTGAAATGCGAAATAACCAAGAACAAGTCAGTATGTCCTCAATTGTCCACATGTCACTCAGCCAGCGCGTCGTTTAGCAGGCCTCCCGTGATGCAAGCTGTCACACAAATTCTAAAGATCGTCGTCTAATTATGTATGTCTCATCCATTGCATTGTAGTCTGGCTGTGTGATCTCATTAGTAAAAGGCTTTTTGTCATTTTGTCATGTGATTTACTTTTTATGTCATAAATATTAGATGGGTCTTACGACGATCCTCCTCATCCAGTGAGAAGAGACTCCGTCGGAAACGGTTTTGCGAGCTGTGGTTGTGCTGCGGTATACTCTCATCGTCGGATAAGCGTGTATTATCACCACCACGACCACCACCCCCGTCAGTCACATTGTTCGAACGTAAGGATCTTTTCGATCTCGTGCGCGATCTGGAATCTGATTCTTCTTCGTAATAAGTTGTGTATCTGACCAGTGCCAACACGGACCCTGTCAGTAGTACTATGGACACTGTGGGCAAGAGTCGCATAATACTGACTCCGAAATCTGCAAATCAAAAAAGAGGAAACATTAGTATTATTTAAATATGTCGAGTCTGAGATTGTATTTGTACTCTCTGGAAAAATTTTCGACAACTTTTTACCTGTTGACAAAATATTACTAAGCTTTTCCCAAGAACCCATTCGAGTTTTACGCATTCTTTTCGTACTAAAGATAATCTACACCTTAATACACTTGTAGTCACAATTCGAAAACAACTTTATGCAAATATTTATCCACAAGTTGCAGCATTATTTAAATAAATTCAGACTGCAATTCACTAATATTAAGGTTGTACTGCACATTTTGAGTACTTAAATGGGACAATCTTGTTTTGATCATGATTAAAAGGTTGGGGAGGTAAAGGTGAGATCCTGTGCCACTTAAGTTGGTAAATAAATGCCAAGTTCAGGCAGCCAATCCATTCTTTTTCTTGTGAATGTTCACACAGACAATTTCTCTCTCACTTCAATTTTACTTGGTTAATTTTATTTTTGGGTAAAGCACAGGATGAGAGAGGATTAAATAGAATGAGATGAAATGGAATGGAATTAAAGAAGCTGCTGCATTGTGCTCTGGGTACGTGTGCATTGTGTAAATTGACAGGGGTTTGCTTAGTTAGTCTGGTTGTTCTGCTCAGTGATCTTTGCACTGCCAAGTGCACCAGGTTAAATATAAGTACATTTATAAGTATAAAATAAACTGTATTATGGTAACTGGCACGGATTTGATGATGAAGGTGGTAGAAATTGTAGCCAGACAGGCCTCACTACTGCTTAATCTACGGCTTTGAATCTAAATCTAGAAAAAATTTGACTAAACTTTGATAGAATTAGATTTAGATTGCTGTGGCACAATTTCGCAAAAGGTGAATTTTATTCCGTACGAAAAAAATAATAAAGTGTGTCATAACCTTAAGTCAGAGACAAGTTTAAGGAAATTCCAACCTTTTAGTACTCGTCGGGTGCATACATAAATATGTACTTGTCAATTAACTAGGATGCTCAACATAATATTTTAAGGAGATGAGGAGGACGGTTAACATTAACCCTTAATTTTTGCTCCACTTTTCATTTCATCATTGTTTACAAAACAAGTCGACGCGGCATTAACAAAATCTTGCACTGTTAACAAAATTCCGAATTACTAACCAAATTTCGTGTTGCTTTCACATTTCCTGTTAAGTAAAAAGTTCTTCCAACGTTGTAATATTAGATACGTAAAATTCGAATGTAATTTTTTCAAACTTTCGTCAACATTTTATGGCAAAATTTCTTTTGCCATTCACAAAATATGTCCATAACTATGAGGTATAATTAAATAATACGCTAACAACCTTTAATAAACCGCGTAATTCCATCGTGAAAAAATAATATGGAAATTGCAATTATTTTGCAAAACTCAAAATATCGGAAAATTGGGGTCCAAAATCGAGGCAGCGGCCAATTTCTAGTCTAAAATAATTTTTAAAATTATTTCCAGTCATATTAAAGCAAAGGTTTAGTCAAAACTTGAATTTCTCAAAATTAGCAAAAAATTTGCACATTTTGGCATTTATCTCGAAAACTGGCCAAGCGCGCCCCCAATTTTATTACGGATTTTTGATCTACTCAATATTACACAAATTTTAAGCCATCAAACTCGAAAATCGTAGGAAGCTGAAAAAACACGATTTCATTGTATATATCTATCTTAATAATACGGAATATGCAATTATTTTGCAAAGTTCAACGTAGTGGAAAACTGGGGTCCAAAATCGAGGCAGCGGCCGAATTCTAGTCCAAAATAATTTTTAAAATTATTTCGAGTCATACTAAACCTAAGGTTTAGTCAAAACCTGAATATCTCACAATTTGCAAATAATTCGCACATTTTGGCTTGTATCGCGAAAACTGCTGGTCGACCCCCCCCCTTTTTTTATTACGAATTCTTTATCTACACAAAATTACGCAAATTTTAAGCTATCAAACTCGAAAATCGTTGGAAGATGAAAAAAACACTATTTCATTGTATATATCTATCTTAAAAAGAGATACGAATCATCCAACTAAACGATGTTTACGTTTTTTCAGAAAAAAACTGATCTTGGTTAAGGATTCACTTGGATGAATTTATGTGAAATTGATGCAAGTGCAATTCTTTGAGGAATGGCGAGCGACATTAATACATAATTGACAAAGTGATATATGAGTCAATTTTGAAAGTCAGGATTAATATTATTAAGTAATATGTAGATAAATATCCAGATATTTAGCAGGTTGTAATGAATGGTTTGAAATACTTAATTCAGATAATAGACATTAAATTCATTTAAAAAATAAACCTATGTGCATGTGTAAAGCATGGGAAAGATAACAATTTAAAATTCCTAATGGCACAAAAATTAGACAGCGTTAATTATTAGGGTACAAGTAAAGTAATCAATTTCCCAGAGGGCCCTAATTACTATCAAGTTTAATACTTTTTTCGCAATTTATCCAAACAACGCATTTTGCATCCTAGTTAAACTTACTAACGAGCACCTGCAGAGATTTCTGTCTGTCAGTGTCACTAACAACGAGCACACGACACAACGACGGCACGGACGGACGGCGACACAAAAAAGACGTCGAAACAATGTAAAAACGTAATAAACAGAATAAATAAATGTAATAAAATTAGAGAATTGCATGCGTTGAGAACGTCTCGTAGCCGAAGAGGAGAAATCTGTCTCGCTATTTAATCTCATCACCTTTGCCATTTCATGAAGCTCACCAAATAATGTAAACGAAACGTATAAATTACTTCCGGATGGAAATCATATGATTTTGGAGGTATGACGAAGAATGAAATTTGTACAAAGGTTATGAGTCATAATTTAATTAAAGAGAGCGGATGAGTAAAAATGTTGCAGAGTAAACAGAATTTTTGTTTGCTATTCTCAAAGAATTAGACAAAAGTGATTTTATGGATTTTCCTGTCGGGATTCCATCCTAATGAAATGTTAAATCTATTCCTGGATTTTCATAAAAGCAAAATAAACCTCTTCGCTTGGTAATAATAGCAATAAGAAGATTTGATTATGCATAGTTCACAAAATGCAACGTGATACTTAAGCACAATTTTTTAAATGCATTCCTTTCTCACAACCAGTAATCAGAATAACATAAATCCATTAAATTAGCACGATCATCAAATTACAGCGTTTAACGTAAATAATACTATTTTCGAATGCAAATTGCAGCATTGATGAGATTGCAAATCGTGAAATTTTCACTTTTGAGAGTCAAATTGACGTAAAAGACTGTTTTACTTCACCCTTCATTTTGTACGTTGTGCTGAAAGTTATCATGCATATGCATTTTTGACTGGAGTATGAAAAATCTTACTTACAATGGAGCTCTCCCAACGTATTCTCACAAATTTCTACTAATGTCAATCGACACAAGTTCAATTAACATGACTTTTCCCAATGGTACTATCTGCCAAATACTCACGTTTGGCAGAGATATCTGCATCCAGAGGCAAAAACGGACCAAAAAGTTGACAAATTTTAAACTTTCCAAATTTACTCCGCATTTTTTCCTCTTCGGATGCACATATTCTTGCCGAACCTGTGCATTGAGAGATCGTACCTTTTATAAATGTCATACTGATTAAATTTACCGTCGATTTAAACTAATTTAGTCAAAATCTGTGAGCATACTATGACAGACTCCATTCCTAGCAGGCCAAACAGTAGATCATAGCTGAGATACTTAAAAAACCGTGTTTTGTTTTGCCATGCATTTTACTTTACAGTGTAAAGTTTACACCATTTCATCCCAACATTCCGAGATACGTGTGTATATAGCAAGAAAGTAAAAAGTTGAGACCCGGTGGGTTTGCCTGACTGTGTATCTGCTGTAATATATACGTAATGGCCAGGCTATCTGAGAGTAATAATGGTCTGTATTCTGTCCTGTTTTGCCATGCCATTGCATTTCATTGTTGTTGATGAACTGCTTCTTCTTGCCTGGCATCTCTTCTGCTGTCTTTCTTTCCTCGCACATCAACCAGCCTTGCAAGGCCAAATTCCAGATTCCAACTTTTTTGTAGGTCAACTCACTCCAACAACTTTTCACCAACTTTTTGTTCCACGACACGGGCTGCGCTCTTGTTACTTTGTAATGCTCCTCGTGTGATGGGTGGGTGTGCAGGAAGGAAAGATAATAAGGAAGGAACTGGACATGCAACTATGCAAGAAGTGGTGAAAAAAATGGTCATTAAATTCATGTACAAGTCGAGCTTAAGCTTTGAAATTTAGCTGAAGAAATAATAATAACTCACAACATTCTTCAGCCTGGTATTTATTGTCATTTTGCAAACATATATGGAAATAAACTTCCGCTAAACAATTGATTCTCTGATGAATATAATTTTGTCAGTAACGATACTAATTTTACAGCTTTGTTCACTTCCCCCTCATGCAAAAATATTTAAAAACCGTTTAACGCAGGATTCATGTCATCGAGACCATTGTTTGTGTGCTACAGAGATTTTAAAAAAGAGGATAATTTGCAACTTTCAATTTTCCTCGGTCTAGACCATAATTACTGCGTGTATGTACGTATGGGTGGCGGTATGGATTTGGTTTTGCACATTTATATAAATATTTACGGCATGTATTCACTGACTGATCTTTATGTTTTTATGCTTGTGGCTTGTGGTGTGCCGTTTTTGGGGTTGATCTCTGAGAGCATAGTAAAATATGCATACTTTATGATTTGGTTGGTAGGTCGATCAAATTAGCGAAAAATCAATGTATATGTACATTCAAAATTATGTTTCCAGAAGTTGTATCGGCAATTTTTACCTCAGAAATAATTCATGATCAGCATCTGTAAAATATATATTTCCAGAATTTGCATGCACTTATGCTTATGCTAACAAGAAACGGAGATCTCCTAGCGATCTGATTTTGACCAAGTAGATGTCAATCGATCACAAATTTAATTAGTATGAAATGCGAAGGTTTTGCGGAGATATTTGCATCAAGAGAGGAGAACATGTGCAAAATTTAACTTTAAGGCCGTTTTCTCCCCTTTGTATGCAAATATCTCCAATGTCAAACCTGAGAATTGGAAGATTGTAAATTTCATACTAATTAAATTTGTGATCGATTGACACTAGTTTGGTCAAAATCGGAGAGCATACGCTGGGAGACCTCCATCTTCAGCTGCAAGATCGAATACCTGTCACTTTCTATGATTGCCAAAAATACAAAATAATAGAAAAGGTAAGTATTTAAATGTTTCTAATTTTAGCCCGACATTATTATTGGGACCCGTTATAAGTCTCCACATGTCAAAAGTATACATTTTAAGTACAAAATCAACCGTTCCTCAAAAATCACCCAGTCTCGTCGTACAGCCTTTTCCCTACCACCAAACTTTATCAATACACATGAGTTTAAACCATGCAAATATACATAAATAAATACAAACTCGCGTCATGCATGCATATAAACTTTCCATTTTAATCCACGCAACTAAAACCCCGTCTTCGTGAGTGTGTGTGGTGTGTGTGGTTTTAAAGTCTTTTTATTTATAAAAAGTGTCTCCTTCCCCTGAATTGAATGTTTATTTGGTTTGAAATCAGTTTAGATCATTGTTATAATGGCGACAATGTACTCCTCCTTCATAAATGTCTTCTTTAACTGAAGAATTAGGGCCAAATTCACCCACAAGAAAACGTGATTCTCATGATTTATTATCATTTTATTTACTCATTTTATGTACATACGCCAGATTTGCAGCACAAATCAAACTTTACCAGAAAGTAAATAATGATTAGAGAATTATACCTTAAAATTTATTAGGGATTTCCACGCTCCTCGTCTCCTCTAACATTCCGGATGTGAGATTCCGGCATTGACAAGTTCAAATCCTTTCATAATTATTTCCAATTTTGAACTTGTATTTAAAGAATTTTCAGAAATTGTGAATCCCGATGTAGAACTATTTTTAAATTTACTCCTAATTTTATCACCACAACACATCCATTCGATCCCAGTCACACAGATTCCACACAAAATATTTCCAATCACACACACCTCACTCACGCCTCATGACCCATGAAAGACAGCAAGTCGTCAAGTCGAAAAGTGTGTCCAATAATATCGAAACGGTAATAAAGGGTAGGGATGACTAGTAAGTAATGCAGAGTGGATCTCAGCCGCTTCCTTCCTTTACTGTCAATTTGAGCAGGGATGACATATCATCTCAGACACAAACACACCACAAAATATGCACTTCCTTCCTGGCAATTACTATATTTTAGCAATTTTTCATGACTCTGTGTCAAGAGGAATTTCCAGTTTTTCTTCTACCCCACCAGCAGCCACCACACCATTGTTATTATGAAATCAGGCGAGAAAAAGTGAAACTATTTATTTTTGCATGCACTCAAATCACGTAACAATCATGATAATAATACAACATGTTACGGAAGCGAATTATTAGTTTTGTGTGTGTAATATTATTACGGAGAGGAAACTGGTTCAGTCCTCTGCGGCTAATTATTTTATATATATTTAATTATTTCTCTGTATGTATGTACACTTGGCCAAGATGCATTTCAGGTTTGATGCTGCAACTCCCAAAGTCTTGGAGGTACTAAAGGCAAGAAAGGAGAACTAACCAAGTAACCAACTAACTAAATCCTAAATAACTATCACTAACTGGTTTGTATAAGTGGTGGAGAAGATTGCATTATTGTGTTGTGTACGGATTGCATATTGTAAGGCGGCACATGTACGGATTGGGTTGCATTTAGCAGGTACCTTTTTCTCAGGCGAGAGTTAGCATGGGATGGATTGTGGAAAATAATGCGTGAGAGAGTCTTAAGTTTGCTCTTAAAGTTAAACTGTTTCGCCATTAAATGTACAAAATGTGCAGGAACGAGGAGCGAAGGATCGAGGGATGTGCGAGGACGAGGATGCAATCCATAGTGCAACGAGAAACGGTTTCAACGCAGCGTCAGTCAAGAGAGCAATATAGAAAAGTCTTCTAAGCTATAGCAAAGTCTTAAAGAATGCTGCATTTATTTAAGTACGACCACCACTCGAACAAAATGCAGTGTAACAGTGTCTTCACTTTAGTTTAGGGTGAGGACGACCACGACGACGACGGTGAAAAGATGATCAAAATTTAAGCAGTTGTCTCGTGTCACAAGCAATCAATTTTTCCATGTTTTGCTCAGAATAATTATTTACCAGAATTGGGACCTTTTACAGGAAAGATTCGTAATTAGGGAGATTTTATTGTGTAATAGATCAATGAAATTTGACCACATTTAAAAATATTTTCTGCATCCTTCCTCCAACAGAAATGTGCAAATATGTATGTGCGTACTATTTTTGAAGTATTCGAATGTTGACACCCTGTCGAGAGGTGGTACACACACTTGTGGCCCGTCGTAATAATGATGTGAGTGACAACAGCAGCAGCAGGGTTGAAGTATATTAAAGTAAAATTAATGCGAGCCACCAGCACTTTTGGACGTTGGCATTAGTGCTGGTTACACCGCGATGCAATCCGTGTTATCATTGTAATCTATCAGATTTCAAATTTAAACGCAACTCTCACTTACCTTGCCTCGGGGCGAGGTTGTTGCTGCGTCTTGATCACTCGCATGGCTAGGTAGCCCAATTCTCCAATCTCGAAGGTTTTTTCTTCATTACAACAATGGGAAAAGTTGACAAAATTACAAGGGTTTGATGTCTCCTGAAATTTGTTTCGGTATATTTTCATGTCTCGTATTAAAAATTTCCAGAGTCTATTATATCAATGAAGGTTGAATCGGGCTTAAATTGGAAAATTAGTATAGCTGCGTAAAAAGACTTTTATGTGCATGCCTCCAGCACCGGCAGCGAACGATAGTAAAACTTTCACTTTACTTGAACACCAATTACGTATGTAGATACATATTCAGGAGTTGAGCATGGACTCAAATCTTTATATTTGGATCGACCTGCGTAAAAGGTTTATGCCCTGTAATGCATGCAACTGCTAAATCTGTACGTGTGCAATATTATGAGTAAGCTTACATGTAAATATCTGCATGTACAGGGTACCGTAGGCACAAAGCTGCCTCGTCTCATAACCAACGTAAAATATGAGATGAGAAGCTCACAGAGGAGCAGAGCTTACGGACTTTGTTTGTTGGTTAGTGAATTTATGGAAACATGGAAATTTTCTCATTCAAACGAAAGTCCTCATGAAGTAGGCTTGTTCTCACTCAATTCCTTTACAATTTCCAATAAAGGGTTCATTTCATGTAAAGTTCAGACCTTATTTATGTACAGTTATGAAACAAGTAGATAGATATTGGGTCGTCCCTACGTTCAAAACTTTTCTTGAAATGCTGAGATTTTCATTAAACATGAAATGTCAAGCTTTCTCATATTTTTCTATGTACCTCTCGCATCCTCCTCTCTTTTGGTCCAGGAGCAATGGAATAAGCAGATAGCAATCCGTCATTCTTTCGCTACTGCTTTCAAGTCCATAATAAAACCTTCTCCTTGCTAATGATTTAATAGGATTATATTCCATTCAGTTTGAAGGAACAACTTTTTATTGCACCTTTTTGATTCGCACTTTTTTATGCACACATCTCTCTCTCTCTCTCTTCCTCCCCGACTTTGGAATGCTTTTCATTTCTTTTTATCCTAATCATCGTAATCACGCCTTTCTTCAAGATAAAAAATTCAATCAAGTAAATGAATGTAATAAAATGCAAATTCACATCACATGCGAATTCCTTCCTTGCCCATACCACCCATTCCTTCCAGGGAGCAATGTCCATTTATTACTTGGCCAACTACTAACTGCTAACAGTTCCTTCCTGGTAGTCGCAGACCCACTAAAACCTAACTACATATGCACACATAGTAAAGTAATGTAATGGTGATTTGATTAATAGAATATCCATGCAGAAACATTACTATTCAAAAGTTTCATCTCATCATTTTTTAATATTGACGGCTGCACACATTCATGGCCAAGTCACGTCACGTAATTTGCATGCTACGACAACTCTGTGGAATGTGTGCATGTAGAATTATGGCAAACTATTTATTTATTATGCATGCACATTGAAATTTTGATACAAAAACCAAGTTTAAATCTTCTAGTCATAAAGTAAAGTCTGAAACGGTGTAACTTTATCTCGCTAATTGTTCCTTCCTGGAATATTACAATTTTGCATGTGTGGTTAGTTAGTGTCACAAACGCTTCAGGTATCGCTAGAAATTACTTTTGTCGTTCAATTACCGTGGTTCAATGATTGTCATACGTAGATGGCTGCTTGCATGACATTACTGTCGCAATTTGGCAGATAGCCTCATTTGTGGTCCTGCCTGGATTGCACGCAGCATTAGGACCGAGGTGATATTGAGAGCAGTGAAAAATTCTTGAGTGACAGTTCACTTCACTTTATGATGGCATCCAATTCGCCATGAGAGAGCAAAGGGCATGGGTGAATTGACTGGGTGCAGGTAGGGCTTCTCAGTAATTGAATCCTCCTCGTCTCGGAATTGCATCTTCTTCTTTTTTAACAACCAAGCAGCTTGTCTGGCAGAACCGGACAAGTGAAATAAATAAATGGTGGAGTGGAGCTTGATGATGTCGAATTTGTTGCTGGGCTTGTTGCAATTCAATTTCAAAGGAATCCCAACACGTTGTTGGATTATGTTAAGTTCATGTAATAACTGAGTTATTTGTCCGGTCTGCGAGTGGAAAAAAGTGGACATTCGACATGCACCATGGCTCATTGTTATTTTGTGTGTAATAAATTTGTAAAAAGTGTTGTAGCATTCTGAAGGATGAAATGAATTATAAAAATAAAAATTCATTAACAATTTACAAAGTACCGGCATACATATCCTGACACAATATGTAAATATGGAATGAAGCATGAATTTCATCTGTATGAATCAGCTCAACTAAATAAATACTGGATTGGTTTACATTGCAACAGTTCGTACCGGACGGAATAGGAGTGTACGTATATTTGCAAAAGAGAAATTCTAGTTCAGAAGTTACGCAATTGCATATTTCCACTTTGCCTCAAGTACAATTAAACGGACGGAACAAGACGATTCTTAGATGTTCAACTATTTACAAATAGAAATTGTATGAATAATTATGTCATTCTTCTTCTTCTCGTGCCGTGTTGACGTAAGGTGCACTTCTCATGTCGTCTCAAAGCTATTATTAATACAATAAGTCACACTTGCTTACTTATCACTTTCTTTTTAGGTAAGTGTTAACCACGTCCGGTACAGACAGACACATAATAATAATCCATACGTAAGTAATTGTTGTATACGTATGTAATGTAGCACAACCCGATATTGGATAACTACTCGCTGAATAATATTATCTTTGAAAAAGTTAAACAATAGTATTTAGAAGGCGGTATTAATGGTGATGAGATGGTGACGACGTGTAAAGGTTCTTCCTTATTTCCAATGGGTATAAAACACTGATGAATAGGAAAGGATCACGATTAGAGGCACTAATGAATGATTATAAATGTGTAGGATTGATGACGGACGACCCAAGCCTTACATGTATACATCCTTTCTGATAATAGCGAAAACCGGAAATATATAGGGAATTTTAAGAATATTTATTTATTTGCAAAACTCTATCAGCTTGTTCGATTTTCATAAGAATTTAGTCTCCAACATGTCATTCCGTTTCACGAGATGCATAACCTATGACCTATATATTTGTAAGTTTTCTTTCAGGAATTTTGTTTATTTTGCTATACCCCGCAGTGATAGCTAAATAGTAAGTGGAACCGTAATACATTTTGTACATGCATGACATATTATGGGAAATAAATTATTATTTCATGACAATGAGAAATAGATCTACTTTCGGAGTTTGTAAATATAGTAAATTTATATAGTAAACTGTCGTGTGTGTAGTGCCAGATTATACATAAATCATCTTGGCAGAACCAGCAGCAGCACTTTACAGAAATTCAACCTGAGGGAGACGCGATGAATTCTCCAAAGTGCAGTAGGCAGGGATTCATCTCCTATTCGTCATTTCTATTCAGGTGGATTATTGGACCAGAAGAAGAAGAAATATTTGAGCCAAGAAAGAATAAGTGTGTGTAGACTAGGGTTCATTTTGTTGGGCCTTGACCCACTGACTTCTCATGGCAGAAGGATACACTACATCCCCCGTAAGTAATTTCACCACGCAGAAATCAACTAGCATACCGAAATATCAGGAAATGTTGAAAATCCATCAGTCCTCAGGAATTCGATAGCTTAAGCTTAATAGATACCCCACGACCCACGTCACGGTTCAAAAGAATGAGTAATGACACTTGTTTTACCGAATTTCACCCACCAACGTAATCATAATTAATTAATATTTTCTGTCAAAAAATTAGAAATATTTCCAATTACCAGCTTTCTATACGTTTTACAATCTTAATTAAATATAAAAATTAATTAAGTTTCGAAAAACGACATTTATCATCATTATATCTACGTAGATTGATTTTTTTTGTAGATAAGATGGAAGATTTTGGTGACAAATCAGTTACAACTTTAATACCCAAGATGCGATAATATCAATGTTAACATTAATTGCG